AATTTACTAACGTACCTTTGTACATTTGCGTTAAGTCGAAAAATGCATGTAGAGTAGATTGAGCATGAGAAACAAGACCTCTATATAAATTTTCTGTACGCTGCAATGCCATTAACCTTTGTACGAGTGCATCGTTACAGAGAATAGCACGCGATAAACCGAGCGCATCGGCTGTTGCACTTCCCATTCCTTCTACTAGTCTATGTTTCACCTGGAATTCAATTTTTTAGTTAGAGAGAGCATTATTAAACAAATATATGACTACTTATGTGTAATATAAACCTTTTTTAAAGCTATATCAAGAGTACGACCCTGTTTGGGATCGGCGTGTAGTTTATTATAGTTGATGCTGACTTGAGAGTCACAAGATTGGATCATTTTTGCAACTTCTACTTTTGTCTTTCCTCTAACCGACGATCCATTTACCGCTACAAGTTCATCTCCTGATTGCAAAGTGCCGTCTATAGCCGCAGGCGTGTTATCAAAAATTTGTAAAATATACAAGCAAGGACACAACGGTGCTCCGCCTCCGATGCTTATGCCTATAAGGTTACTGCTGTCTTTTTGTATTACAACGTTGCCCGAAGTAATCGTCATACCCCTGCATAAAGCAATACAATAAAAGAAACATATTAAACGTTACCGAATTCAATATCTATTTTGGATAATAACTGTACATTTTTTAGATAAATACATAAACAAATGTAATAGACACATCTATAAGAATTATGTAGCAAAAAAAAAACTAATATGCTGCTTCATGCATAGAGTTACATACCGTTAGCTATAAATTATTTCTACAAAATAAACTTTTCTCTAAATATAAATAGTTCAATACTGGTAGTAAATAAGTATAATAAATATAAGGTACTGTTGATAATTTATACTTGTTAATTAAGTAATGGTAAAACTTGAATACACATATAAATGTTACATAAATATTCAAGAAATTCTCACGAGACCGTCTAACAATAACTACATGTTTATAGATATTATAATAAAAAATACTATATTATGTAACTACATCATATAATATACCATAATTGTATTAAACATCGGTATGAGTTTAATGACAAGCACATCATCATCATCATCATCATCAAAACTTACATAGCAGTGCCAAGTAGATGATGAAGAGACTGATCTTGAGCGACCAGTTCTACATCTGGTCTATATCTCGTGATAATAAACCAAAAAACAAATGTGAAATATATCAAATTTGTAAGAGAAAAGAACTTAAATAAAACGTAGAATAGTGAACACAACAATGCATACATGCGATCCTCCCTCATAGCGAATTGTGATTGGGCATTAGCTGATGGTACAGTGGTTAATAGTAAAAAGTCATTTTCCTGATCGTTAGATTCACTCAAAGTAACGTTATCTGGAGGTAAAAGTGTTTGATCCTTCAAACTACTCCACCGCACCGTGGCAAACAGACATGCATGTTGCAAGAAGAGAGAAGCACATTTAAATTGAAGTTGTAACACAGATCGGTAAGAAATGAAAAAGTTTTATGAAACGAACATCTTATCCTCCTCGAAGAAGAAATCGTCATCGTAATCCATGCTTACACTGTAATCTGCAATATAATAAACTTTATACCATCGTGTGTATATATATAGCTTTGTTAATAAACAAACAAATAAATTTAGTAAAAGTAGAAGGAGTCGTGCTCTTAATGACATTCTGTTAGAGCATTTAGAGTAAATATTTTTTCAATGATAACATTATGAATGAAATACGTTGTACCTGTTTATATTATTTAAAGAGGAGAATATATTAAGGTTATCTGTCAAAGGAACTTTTGAAAAGTGACAGTGACAATTGGTGACAATTCTACATAAATTCTAATAGCCAGTTCTAATGAACGACCAATAGAAACAATTCTTTAACTCATTCAGTTCTTATGTATACACGTATGAACTTTGACTATTTCATATAATTTCAAATTATTTATTGTTTTATTAAAAATTATACAATAGCGATAACGCAAAGATAGTTGTCCAATGACATTCTGTCGCCGTAACTTTATTTATCGAAGTTTTGTTTCGTCAACAGAATCAAGCATAATAAATAATACATTATTATCTTTCGATTCGTTCTAATTTTGCTCAATTATTCGAGATTTATTCGACGAGTAGTTAAAGCTATCAAGTTGGTAGCATTAAATTATTCGTGGTCGTTCGTTACTATTTCATGCCAACCAAACGTTGATGTTCCACGTTGTAGAATTGACGACTACGCCGCTGAGCTTCCACGTCGCAAACAGCAATGGTAGGCTCTAGTATTATGCCGAAACGTGTAGTCCGGTGTCGATTGTGAAGTGAGTGGTTTGAAGTGAAATAAATTCCTATTCATAACAGAATAGTTAGTTTAAAAATAACGCAACAAAATGAAGAAATTTAGCATTTTTTTATTGTTACTCGTTTCGCCGATTATTCTCACTGTGAACAGAGGTAATGTGAAATATAGAGTGTTATTGGAAATACACTTTTCAGTTTATAGTTTATATTCGTGCTATGTGTATACGATACGCCTTGACACGAATAAATTTTCATTTATCGTTCTCGATGGTTTTTCAGCTGATGTATGTATAATTTTTATCGAAAGAAAACTACAACCTTTATGTGTAGTTTCGTTTAAATTGAAAATAAAGTTTCGAGTAGTTAACAACAAACTTCTGTTGAAAAACATATTGTTCAAAAGAACTTTTTGATATTCACGTTATTAATTATGAGTTTAATATAATTAATAAGTTTCGAGTCTAACGTAGTCAACTTTGTTGAACGATATATGAATTACATGTTTATTTTGTTGCTCGATTAGGACGAATTATATATATATTTTGTATTACAGTTCATGCTCAAGAAGATGAAAATATAGACGACATAGTGGATGTAGAAGGAGAAGAAAATTCTGTAATAACGGATGAAGAACCTGAAGAAGAGACAACTAATGCATCACCTGATGCTGATACTACTATATTGTTTACTAAACCTATTTACAATGGATTATCAACGTTGGGTATATATATAATTCTCCTTTGATTATAGTGTATTTTGTTTATTTGTAATTTTAATAGTTAATTCGTATTTTTTAGAGTTACCAGCTGGGAACTTAGTCGAATTACTTGTTGGTTTCACCAATAAAGGTGAATCTGATTTTGTTCTTGAATCGTTAGATGCATCTTTTCGTTATGCAATGGATTTTAACTTTTATATTCAGAACTTTTCAACTGTTACATATAACAAGATTGTGAAGCCAAAACATGAGGCAACTTTGGCATATACGTTTCTTCCATCAGAGAACCTTGCCGGAAGGCCCTTTGGTTTCAATATTAATCTGAATTACAGAGACAGTGTATGTATCAAATATTATTTGATATTTTCTAACGTTAATTCAAAACATTAATAACGTATATTTCTTTATAGAATGGCATCAACTTCAGCGAGGCTGTTTATAATGAAACAGTACAGATTATAGAATTAGACGATGGTCTCGATGGAGAAACTGTTTTTCTGTATGTATTCCTCGCTGCATGTGTAATATTAACGCTCGTAGGAGGGCAACAGCTTCTGTCGTCTCTGGGCCGCAAATCTCGATCTTCTACTACCCGTAAAATACCTATGGAAATGGGTACATCCAATCCCAACAATGTAGATTACGATTGGTTGCCAAAAGAAACTTTGAATAGAATTAGTAAGTATTGTATTATGTTTTAAATGTAACACAACAATAATTACTATACTATTATTAGACTTCTCAGAACATTCACAAATACATTTTGCTTTTCTCAATGTTTCGATACTTGTACGAAATTTTTATCAGAGAAAAATTGTAATCGAATTAAAGAATAATTTAATATTTTTATTAAATTAATTATAGTCTCTCCAGTGAAAAAAAAGAAATTAAATTTGCGAATGTTCTGGAAAGTGATGTAATAACATTGTTCTCCGCTCGTTATCAATGATACTACAAAACAACTAGATATTTGTTCATGTTTAATAATTAAATATAATATTTTCACAGATAAGTCTCCAAGAACTCCAAAACAGAGTCCTAGACAACGAAGAGCTAAACGAACAGGTGATTCTGATGACTGAATTATGTTAATACACGTGTATATATATTATTTAAAGTGGATAGGTAGGAAGAACGATTTCATGTTTGTAACAATTTTTACTAGAAAATTGTTGAATCCATTTGTCAATGATAAACCAAGCAGAGAACAAAGATCCCGCAACTACCTGCTTCAAATTTTTCAGACAAAAATTTTACATTATTGCTCATAATGAAAAATTATAAAATAGATTTTATAATTTGCGAATAATATTATTAAACAATGTCATAATATCGCAACGAAAGGGTACGAGTTAACGAGAAGTTTTAATTCCCCGCGATTGAAACTATCGTGCTATTATTATGCGATCAACTTGCAACTATTATTTAATTTGATATTCTTTTTCCAAATTAATATTCTATGATTTGACATTTGACTGTAATTAAAATATTTCACTTGAAAATTTACGCATCATATAAATTTGTCATGAATGACATTAAATGTCTTAATTCTCTATCATTAAGAACAAGATAAATTTATACGTACATATTGTAATCAAATTCAAATGATCATGTTCATTACTTGTAACAATTTGCAAAAAGATGTACTTTCAATAAATCACAATTTTGTACAAAATATTTCTGTTTTTCTTGTTTATATAATGTAACAAAAATAAAATAGGACTATCGATTTATCTAAATAGGAAGTGTCTTATTATAAAAGTCTTGAGTCTATAAGATAAAGTAAAAATGTTGTTATATAAACATCTTATACGTTTCTACTCTGAATTATATTTAAATTTTTAAAAAAATTTATATATTTCAGAAGGTAGACTGGAGAAAGTGCGCTGTTTCTGGTTCACCTTCTTTAAATTTGCCGGTAGGAGACGCCACGAACATGTTTTCAAGCACTAAACGTAGACAATCCTTGTTTTCAATTATTAAAAAATTTAATTGGAAACATTTGCTGTTGAAAAACACTTTTATATTATCTTCATTGTTTAACTTGAAAACACTTTGTATATAGCAACAAACAATCACAACAAATGATTCGGTCCAAAATATCGATATTGACGTGATTGTTTGTTTTGTAAACAAAGATGTTTTCTCATTTCATTTATAAACCTCAAAATTTTCCGTTACTTACGAACGTTAGTATTTTATTGAGAAATTTAATAATTTTTGTCAAGAAATTAATTTTTTATATCGAATAATTATATGATTATTTGTTCAACATGCCAAATTTCGTGGCGACGCGCAGTTTTCAAACTTCGTTGAAGATCGAGTCGTTGTTCTTTGTCAGATACGCCTGGATATATCTGTTAATTTTTGTAATAAATAACCGAGATAGTAGTTACATTGATTAGTTCTTAATAAAACGGAACAATTTTAAAAGAGAATCACTTTCATATTGTTATTGTCGTGTTAATATTAATACAATAATTCGTAGCGTCTGTTCACGTGCATCAAGACAACCGGCATGCCGCCAAAACGTGGTCGAGGTTCAAAGGTTATACATTTGTGTCATTTATTATTTCTGTATATCCTTTCTTTAGTTTATAATACAACAATGCAGCATCAAGATATGCAATTTTACAGATCGATAATTTTATTATTTTTATTGAAATAAAGAATACATTATAAACTAATTCAAAGTGCCCGGATATCAAAGTCCTTTGTTAAAGATATGTATTTTGATTCCATTCGAAAACTAGGCAAACTCTACAGAAACCAAAAATGAAAAACAAAGTAAGGCGTCGAAAGCACAAGAAGTGTCTGGTAAAAAATCTAAACGTGCTAGAAATGATAATGAAGAACCTGCACCGAAGCGTGCCAAGACAGAGCCAAAGCAGATGATGAATAAAGTAGATACGAATTGGGATGAAATCGACTTTGGATGTGAGAAATTAAATGCGGAAGGAAATAAGTATAATTTAAAAATTTCTAGCTGGAATGTTTCTGGAATAAGAGCAGTTATTAAAGTACGAATACTATATTATTTTATTATCCGATTTTTGTTATGGAATTTCATAATATTTTATTGTTATGTTTACTTAGAAAAGTGGAATTGAATATATTGAAAAAGAAGATGCTGATATAGTTGCACTGCAAGAAACCAAATGCAATAAAGATAAATTACCAGAAGAAATTAAGTTGAGCGGATATCACCGTTATTTTCTTGACAGTAAGAATGTTTAGTATTTGTCATGCTTGAATTTATATTAGTAAAAATTAAAATTAATCGTGTGGCATGTATAGGTAAAAAATCTGGCTACTGTGGTCTTGCCTTATATTCAAAAGAGAAACCAATTGATGTAAAATATGGTCTAGATGATCCTGAATTTGATGATGAAGGCAGGCTAATTATGGCAGAATACCCCAAGTTTTATCTAATTAATGTTTGTAAGTTATTTTTTAATACAGATAGATTTAATATTACAGTTCTGTTGTACCAAAGTTTATTACTAGACTGCGGATGTTTATGCATTTATAAGAAATTTGAATGTACAAGAAACTACAAAATGCAAACAATATGCAAAAATATAAAAAAGATTGAAAGTAAAGTTCATGTTATAATATTTGCAGAATAAAATAAATTCCTATTTAGGTTCAATTTTTGTAGGCATGTTTGCGAAGGTTTTTTTTTGCATAAAGATCCGCAGTCTATTTAATACAATTCTTGAAATATAACAATTTTGCAGATATTCCCAATGCTGGCCAAAAGTTGGTAACATTACCAAAAAGATTACAGTGGAATGAGGTTTTCAAGAATTATATTAAAGAGCTGGATGAAAAGAAACCAGTCATTATTTGTGGTGATATGAATGTTGCACATCAAGAAATAGGTAATACTATCTCAAAATATTGTGTAATATGATTTTATTGTAAACGTAATTTCATGAAAATTTATAGGCTATTTTATGTATTCTTTATTCCTATGATGTACAGATCTCACAAATCCTAAGACAAATACAAAAAATGCTGGATTTACCAAAGAGGAACGAGAAGGTATGACAGACTTCTTAGCTGCAGGATTTGTAGATACATTTAGAGCTTTGTATCCTGAGAAAACTGGTGCTTATACATTTTGGTCATATTTTGCTAATGCGCGTACTAAGAACATAGGATGGTGAGTATACAAACAGCTATTCAATCTACTATATGAATCTTTACATTACAATAGATCTTTTTACACAGGAGATTGGATTATTTTTTGGTATCTGAACGAATTAAAGATCAAGTTTGTGATAATGTTATTAGAGACAAGGTATACGGTAGTGATCACTGTCCAATTGTTCTTTACATTAATATATAAGAAAAAAATTTCGTGTGCTTGAATTATAATCATTGTACTTAATATATTTTGTTTTTTGAGAATAAAATTATTTATAGAATATCTTATTTATATGCAAGAAACTTATTAGATTTAATATATACATTTGTCAATATTAAGATGTTATTTATCTTTAATTAATCTAAATATTAACCCCTTGCGCTCGAGGCATTTTTCTATAGAATGAAATCAAGCCCATTTTTATAATAAATTTCTGTAAAACCAAAAACTCTCCTTCGAAAAGAAATATGTAAAAACATTCACGACTCAATGTATTTTATTTCCATTAATAATTAGCTGTATCTTGATATAAGTAATTTTGAAATTGTACGTTCAAAAATCACTTTTAAATTACATATGTTGCCCTAGAGGCTCCACTCGAGCGCAAAGGGTTACCTATAAGCAATACGTTGACATTATGGAGCACACGGAATTTGAAAGATTTCCGTGATTTTAAAAATTACAATTTTTGAAACGACGAAAATCCTTCGAACTGCTTGTGCACATTCCC